TATATATATATATATATATATATATATATATATTTATGTATGTGGATGGGCATATATATATGTGATTGTATATATATATATATATATATATATATATATATATATATATATATATATAGGTATATATGTGTATACATGTGTATGTATGCGTCTTTATGCGTGCATGCATGTATAGCAAATTGAAATTTATATTTATATATATATAGAGATATTATATATATATATATATATATATATATATATATATATATATATATATATATATATATATATATATATATATATATATATATATAATATATAAATATGTTGTGTGTTGTATGTATATTAAAAAAGAAAGAGGTGTATTTTTTTGGTTGTAATGTGGATTTATTGAGAAAAATATTATACTTTGTTTTACATAATTTCACGACATATATTTTTTATTAAAAATAATTAAATATGTTATTTTCTTTCTAGAATTGTCAATGAAGAGTTCTGCGTGAAGGTCATATGTTTTCCAGCGAGTAGTTAAATCTTTTAAGATGTGCTCTTGGATCTGTTTCTATGTGTATATATATTTCCTTACTACGAGGTGTAAACTTATTTTACCTATGCATACACACACATACACACTATCCCACCACAAGTAGTCAGTACACACATATACACACATATTTTGGAAAGTACACACATACACACACACACACACACACACGTATTCTTAAGTTGTCAACATCCGCATATACATACAATAAATATGTATGTGTAACAAATATATATATCTCCTCGTGTCTCCCGTTTACATTTTAGATCAATATATGTTTTTTTTTTGGGGGGGGATTCAGTTCAGGTTTGAATTTTCTATAAAGTTTTTTTCCTGTATTTGTAGATCCAAAAAGAGCACATGTCACTAAAACATTAAATGCCGATAAATGGACAAATATGTTTTATGACCCTTCACGCAGAACTCTTCATTGACAATTCTAGAAAGAAAATTGTATGTCTATATCGAGAAATTCATTGAACATGAAGAAAAAAATTAATTATTTTAATAATATGTAAAAATCTCCACTTTCACCTGAAGACGGTTGACCAGATGTAAAACAAAATATAATATACACACTTCTTTTTAATATATATATATATATATATATATATATATATATATATATATATATGTGTGTGTGTGTGTGTGTGTGTGTGTGTGTGTGTGTATTAAATGTGCGTTTGTGTGATATATTTTTTATTATAAATATAAGTAGGCATTAAAATAGATGTATGTATGTATATATAGAAATTTGCGTTTAAAATTTCACAATATGATAACATGTTTACATTTTAGAATATATGGGATCAACTAATATTCATAGGTTTTTGTGTAAATACATATATGGTGTGTATATATTAATCTGTACGTATGTATGTGGAGAATATACACACACATATATATATATATATATATATATATATGAATGTGTTATGTGTGTAAATATACGGATGATTTTAAATTAAATATAAAATTTATTTACATAGATGGGTGAAAGTGAGAATATATTATTATATGTATGTTAATTTGTTTATATATACTAATTAAATATCTATACAGATGGGTGAAAGTGGTTATAGGTCTGTAATTTGTATATAGACAGTATAGTTGAGTATGTGTATGTATATATGGGAATATGCGTATATATATAGGGCCAACTTGAATTATTGTTAATCATGTATGTTATGTGTTTATTTTATTATATTATTTACTATTTTAGACTCATAATATTGTAAATTTGAATGTCATTGTTATAATTTATATATATCTGAAATGAAAAGAGGTTTAGGAAAATATATATTTTTGACCGAATTAGGTACTACACGTTAATCTATATAAAACGGGTTTCATATTAATATAATTTCGGATACTTTTTGAATTAAACTCGTAACTTTAATAGATATATACTAGAGAATTAAGATCCTATTTATTTTACTTTTAATTTAGGCTGCCTGTTAAAATGTAATAAATTTACTTTATAATTGTAATAAACTAAGTTTCCCTGGATATCATAATAATTAATAATTATTTTATTTAAATCTGTCGGGTAATTTAATTTAAATCTCTTGAGGAATTATACTAGGAACTTTTACTATTGTACAGTAAATTCTAAATCTTTTGCTGAGTTCTGAATAATTTTTAAGATAAATTTATAAAGTTTGTTAAATGGAATATATATATACGTCAGATTCTTAGCCAGTAAGAGACACAGACTGTGTTTCTTCTTAACTCCCATTGACTTAACAATATCTTTATTCAACCTCTAAATCAAAATACAACATTGTTGCATAATGTCATATTAAATCAGGTCACCTCAAATATTAAAGTCGAGAATAAATCCTCGGGTCTTCTTCCTCTTTTGTACTCCTCAGTCATTATTACATGTTCATAAATTTGAATCTTTGCTTTCTCCTTCTCCCTCAATACCATATCTATATCTCTTGAATTTAACGTGGAGCAATATTTTTCGTTCATAGTTGGTTTGCAGGCCTAAAAGATTGAAGACTATTTTATAGCTTTCATGAAATAGATTATTACCTATGGTATTTTAAGTGTTTGATATTCATTAATAAAAAATATATATATATATATATATATATATATATATATATATATATATATATATATGTGTGTGTGTGTGTGTGTGTGTGTGTGTACGTGTGAATCAGGGGCCAAGTACGTTACATTCACTCAAACATAAATATCCTTTAGAAAGGTATGGATTAATTTTATCATTTCCCCAGGGTTTTTAAATAGTACGGAAGACTGGATTCTTTACTCCTTCTTTCGGAGACCTTGTGGTAGACTTTGTGCACCTGCTCTCTTTGTATTGTCTTCTTCCAAGAAGAGGAGTTGGTTCTGCACAAGCCGACACTAATATAATCTAATCAGTTTTGCGGGTACTCCGGCTGTTCGGTTCTACAAACTGTGACAAAGGGAGAGTTCATCACTTATATGTATATTCAAGACATAAAATCTTAAAGATTAAAAACATTATAAGATACATATTTAAAATGACAAAAGTGTTCAATGTATAAAATAGCAATCTGCGCGCATTCACCTATGGCTTCTTCAGGTTTGGAAGTGTCCAAAGAAAAGAGGAAGAAAAAATCTGCAAAGTGGATGCTATTAAATAGCCAATTTGGTGTGCTTAAAGTATAAATTTATGGAAGGATGATCCAATCTAAAACATCGGGTTTTCATCTCAATACTTCAATCTAGCGCCAAATGTGTCAGCTGGTACTTTCTAGAATGTATTTCTAGTTTGTATCAAGGCATACGCGTATATGTGTCTGTGTATGTTTATGGTATGTCCTATATTGAATTAACTGATACTAACCATTATTACTTTTTTGATTCGTATTTTTTCTTCTTAATTTCAATTGGTTTTTATTGTATTTAAGGTCATAATTATACAGCCATCAGCAAAATATGTTTCTTTATAATGATTGTCTGATGTATGATGAAAAGTAAATAAAAAATATAATACTTGCCAATCCTTCTTATAAAAAAGCAAACAAAACCAAATCCACGTTATCTTGAGTGTATGTTATATATATATATATATATAAACTATGGAGGTAATTTTATCAGATTTTAAAAGAAGAGGAAATGTTGGAGAGCTATGATCGCCTCCGTCCTGGTTAATGTTTATAGCATAGTAGCCCATTAGTATTACTAATGTTTTGGAGCTTAGTTTATCACATTATAACATACAAGTTAAAAACTGGATAAAATGGAGATCTAAGTAATGGTTTAAAATATGCAGACCACGGCAATACTACAATCTTCGACGATACTAACGAAGGTGCTTTAAGAAAACTTGGTGCTATTTAATTTCCCACAATAATCGACATATATATATATATATATATATATATATATATATATATAGATAGAGAGAGAGAGAGAGAGAGAGATTAAATTAACTTTCCCCATGTAAAGCAGTAAAGCCACACTAAGACACAAGGGGTTTACTGGGTGTGAGAGAATTAGAAAACAGAAGTATCATTGAGGAACAAGTGTAATAAGGAAGACTGTAGATAACGATTGACATTGCATGTAAATTTTTGAAGATCAAACTAGTCTGGAAACAAGAAGCCGGGAGTTCTTTAAACGAAAAAATAAACTGTTAGCTTTAGCTTTTTTTTTTTTTTTTTTTTTTTGAATTGGCTAGATGTAGATTGTACTACGCTTAAATTCATAAAGTCTAGGATCCATAGCAAAGAGCTTATCCGAATAAATACCATGAAAGTATTTCTAGAAATGGTACTGAGAAGCAATGTTATGGCGGTGGGGAAGCGACTGAAAGTGAGACAAATAATATTGCCGATTCGTCTTTGGACTATATCAAGAATCACTAAATATATAGCAGACTATATGTTGCAGCAATATTCGAGATATGGTAGACATAGATATGTAAAATAGATTCACGAGATTAAAAAAAAAAAAAAAAACAGAATCCTACACATTTTGCAAGGGTTTCTTTTTCTTCTTAGCGTTTGGAAAATTCTTCTGCATTTTATACCTGACATAATGTTAGTTTTTCAGACTCGCCATTTAATTTGTTTAAACTAATATATCCAATAAACTGCATCATACAGTTATGAAAAATGATGCTAAGAATGTCCGCGACACATCCAACCAGTTGCAGTCTATTGGGGTTTCAGGTTCAAATATGGAGACAACTCGTAAAACCAAACAAGCAGACGCAATAATAATAATAATAAACAAAATGATTGACATAACTCTTCCAATATTTTTCAACACTTAAAGAAGAGTGTAATTTAAGAAAAGAAAAAATTAGTGATTGACAATGATAAACAATATTTTGACAGTACGTCTGTTTTCTTCAAATAGTTTTGAGAAAAGATTGACAAAAATATAGGAAAGCAATAAGAAAATATCTACACAGAAGGAGTGCTTAAATAGAAGACAGATAATATAAATATGGATAAAAGTAATCACTTACACCAACCAAATACGACGTATGACTTTATTCCACGCTGCTGTGTGACAAGCGTCCGATAGAAAAGCATTTGTAGGTAGACACCCTCCACAAATATCCATGATTGACTGACGGCGATTCCATATACAAACAGGGTGAACAGAAGGCGACATTCCCAGTGCTAGAAAAATTATTACAAATAGAAATAAGCATATTATCTTTATATATATAAATATGTGTGTGTGTGTGTGTGTGTGTGTGTGTGTGTGTGTGTGTGTGCGTGTGTGTGCTGGTGCTTTCATTTACTTTATATTTACACAGTTCATATATTTTGATATAAAATAAACAATTGTTAAAAATATTTTCCAACTTCTCTTTCTTGTTCTTTTTCTCCTCTTCTTTTATTGGTGACCGCTTGGAAATGCCACATACTGTAAATTTTATTGGTGACCGCTTGGAAATGCCACATACTGTAAATTTTATTGGTGACCGCTTGGAAATGCCACATGCTGTAAATTTTATTGGTGACCGCTTGAAATGCCACATACTGTAAATTTTATTGGTGACCGCTTGGAAATGCCACATGCTGTAAATTTTATTGGTGACCGCTTGGAAATGCCACATACTGTAAATTTTATTGGTGACCGCTTGGAAATGCCACATACTGTAAATTTTATTGGTGACCGCTTGGAAATGCCACATACTGTAAATTTTATTGGTGACCGCTTGGAAATGCCACATACTGTAAATTTTATTGGTGACCGCTTGGAAATGCCACATACTGTAAATTTTATTGGTGACCGCTTGGAAATGCCACATACTGTAAATTTTATTGGTGACCGCTTGGAAATGCCACATGCTGTAAATTTGGTTGTGTGGATGAAGTGATGGATAATGACTCGGAATTGTTAATCGGAGAACCGAATTCCAATTCCTGTTCTTAAGATCCATTTATGCGCAAATACCTATGCGAAAAGTATGGATCCACCTCTTCTCCCCCCAGCTATCGGTTAATTAGTAAGACTTGTATCACTAAATCATTATTATTTCCCAAAATATTCTTACAAAACTAAAAATATCGATAGTCTGACTCGAGTAAAATAAAATGCAAATTATAAAATCGACCCACAGCAGAACGGCTTCCTAAAGTAATCTGATAGATAATATTTTTATTACAGAGACTACAGGATTGTAAACTTGCTGAAGAAAGGAAGTTGAAGCTGTCAAAATATTCAACGTTGATTACTTCTAAGGGCCTCAACGAATAGGAAGTTATGGAGAGCTATGTTCGTCTATGTCGTGAAGGGACGCGGCAAATAGAAAATTTTAATAAGCACACAATAACTACTTTTTCAGCTACATACGATCAGTATAAACGTGGTAAAAAAAGGCCAAAAAAGGTCAACTATCAAATAAGAAATATACTTACAAGGCCTGGTTTGAATAAAAACCTTCCATCTTTTTCTTCCATGTCAATATTCATAGCGAATCCGTGGGTGAAAAGGTTTTGTCTTAACAAGGCGAAAAGAGACCGAACACAGAAAGCGAGAAACAGGTTAATGTGAATGATGCTGCTTTTGTAGTTGAAACGTCTGAAAACAGTAAAGTTATAATGGAGGTGAAACTTTACGAGTGCCAATTAATATGCAGAATTTGAGTATGAGTATAAAAATTCAAAGGCAAATGGGGAGGGATGAATGAATAAGATTGTATTACTTCTGAGCCTTTTATAATAATAATAATAATAATAATAATAATAATAATAATAATAATAATACAGTTTTCATACAGCATATATTTGGTATTCATTAAGCGAATAGCGCTATTTTTAGTTGAAACTTATAAAATCTTTCTTAAAAGAGTTTTTAAGAAAATTGGTCTCTTTAAGTCTACTTAATGTCATAACACTTTTTAGTGTTGATCGGAGTTTCCTTCTTAACCTTTTGTTTAAGTTAGTATGGAAAGTCAATATATTGATTATGGCATTCTTTTTCCTTCTAGTTACATGTATCTATTTCAGCTGTTACTAATATTGGAAAGTCTTCAAGTGAAAAGGTTTTGCTATTTGATAAAGCTCTCTGCTTGTGATTCTGTGGCGCCAGTCTCTAAGACTTTTTTTTTTCGGGAAAACTAACTCATCAAGTCGAATAAATATTATTGCTATTTCTATTATTGATGGGAGTTTCCTTCCTAACCTTTTGTTTAAGGTAATGTGGAAAATCAGCATCCAGATTATATCCTTATTTTCCCTTTTAGTAAGATGTGCTACTCATTTATGTTGTTGATGCTGTTGGAAGTCTTCACGTGATATGATTTATGAATTATAAAGTGTGAGTTGTTATATATACTGAATATCACTGATTACGAATTAAGTTCGGCGTGACGAGGAGGTGAGTAGGAAAATTGTGTGGTGTAAATCCTGTAAGAATTTAGAACCTGTGTTCGGACATGAGCATCGGTGACATAGGGCAAATATATAACTACCTGACAGGAGCAAAACTTTCTGAAAAGAATTGTAGTATTTATAAAGGAAAATAAAGAAATGTTGGTAAGAGAGACAAAGGAAAATAAGGAATTAAATTATTGCTAACCTGCAAAATATCAGAATGATGATGGCAGCACTGAGTGTGACAAATGAAGCTCCATAACCGAAGTTGATGATCGTTGAAATCCGGTTCATGTGATCCTGAAATCGGAAAAAATCTAATGCTTACTTATTATTTGAGTTGCCCAATTGAGTAAAGATGGCGTTAATCGATTACAGTAGACTTGACGATATTATATAATCAAGAAATAATCGAAACTTTTAACGGAAAAGACTTTAGTCGCTAAATTGATATTTACGAAACTTTACTTTTTACAACATGCCATACAAGGAAGCGAATGGAAGCAAAAAGTTGCCCACATCTACATCATAAATAGACATTTATATATTATGAATTATCTGATTATATATGTGTGATATATATATATATGTTAAACTAAGAGAAGAAATTAGAAGATAAATTACGAGTATCATTGTTTTCTTATGATGGTATATACCAAGGTTTGTCACTTTTAAATTCATGTTTTAAAATATAACAATAGTTATAATGGTCATATTGCCAGCAATGTTTGTCATAATTCCGAGAAAATTACAATCCCTTTTTTCAAATGTGTAATGACTTTTATAATAAAAGCATTAGCAATATATTTATTTAATAAAATAAAGTGTTTTTTTTTCTTTTTAATACTTACCTTAATTCTTGACGATTGATTTGCAACATCTTTATACAGTAAAATTAGAAGCAATGTATTTATATTTTACATTTAATATGGCAGCAATACTCCATGTAAGGGCGAATTGTTGATTTGTAGATCTGAAGGATCGATTCCGGGGAGAAAAATTTCCTGGCGCGTCACAGGGAATCGCAAGGAAATTTGGCTCCCTGTGCCGCGCTCAGGAAATTTTCTCCCCGGAATCGATCCTCCAGATCTACAAATCAACCATTCGCCCCTACATGGAGTATTGCTGCCATATATCAATCTGGAGCCCTTTCTGTTTGCCTCAGGGTTCTTGATAGGCTCCAGAGGCGGATATGCAATATAATTGGCCCTGATCTGGCATCTCGTCTACAGTCGCTCTCTCACAGACGCGCCGTCGCCTCTCTCTGTCTTTTTTACAAATACTTTCATGGTAATTGCTCCGAGGAGCTGCATTCGCTGGTTCCCAGACTTCAAGCGCCCTACGAGGCTGGCAACCCACTCTCACCCTTTCACTGTTGAAACTATTAAATGTAGCCGTCTCTTCTACTCCAATAGCTTCATATCTCGCACCTCTCGCCTGTGGAACTCCCTTCCCTATTCCTGTTTTCCTGAGAGCTATAATCCCCAACTATTCAAATGTAATGTCAATCGACAACTCCAGTTCCCTTGATCTATCCATTATCCTTCTCCTCATCCTTTCCTCTATCACTCCTATCTGATCTTGCTCCAAATCTTCTGTAACCCCTTGCGTCCTAGTGGTTTCCCGCCTTGCTTGGGGTGAAACGCTTAAAAAAAAAAAAAAAAAAAGTGCCCTATGACATCAGTAATGCTTGTATTAATTCTTTTCTTTCTGATTTCCATTGTACAACGTAAACATCATGTGTTGAAACTTCTCGAAATTAATTTTAATTAAAATTTGTTCAACTCAAGACTTAACCACCAAATGTTTTAACGCCAGAAATACACTGACGGAAAATAAAATTGCAATACTCTGGATGTTTCAAACGATTCAAGATTAAACGTACAGATAAAATAATTCGATTAAGGCAAATGATCATTTAGATGGATCGATACGTATACAGTTTAAAAAAATAATCGTTTTATCAACAGTACTAAACTAAGCTGTTAAATTAATGCACTGCATATTTCCATATGTACAGCTGCTTACCAAGAAACACCAATCAAATTCTACAGGACTTGAATCAGATAAGAATTATGTGTATCGATCACATCGTTAAAATCTAAGACGAAATAATTCATTTGGCCGAATTTCAGTTAGAAAATCGGAGCTGACGGCAAAACAAATGCAAAAATTTAATGTTAAAAAAGTGAATTGAACCAAAATATTTTGATACACAAACAATGCAGATCAACATTAATTTTTGATACTATATAAATATAATGCAATTGCAAAAGTATTTAAATATTCCGTTATTCATCTGCTGTAGATAATAGCAATAAAAGAATAGCAATAATGTAGAGTTTATTAACTGTGAACGAGATTTAAAAAAAAAATATGATTCTTAATAAGATGGAGAAAAATCTTAAACCTGCCATGATAGAATTAAAACGTTTGACAAAACAGGGGATGAACGGGATAATAAAACGACAGTCACTGCTAATAAATATAGGAAGTTGTGGAAAGCCGTGGCCACCCACATCCTGAAAGTAAACGCCATATAAAAGATTTTCTTTAGACGGTTTGCTAAACAGTGTGAAGATTTTACAAAAAAAAGTTTTAATGAACATCGGCTAAAGGAATGACGTTGAATAAACAATAATCCTTTCTAGCGAATTTTCCTTACAGATGAAAACGGCGAGTAGACTTTTAAATAAACAATTTTTAATTATACATCTCAGTTTTAGTTTTTTTTTCTTCAAAAACAAATGTTGGAAATATTAAACAAGTAACAAACTTTTGCAAATGTTAAATACTTTATAATAGAATTATTTTGCATACTTTTTGAAGATTTATTATTGCTAATTAATTAACGTGTCTGTCTATATTTCTGAGATGAGGTATTATATACACTATCTACATTATTCGGACTATTGTCCTCATCTTTGTCGCCATATTTATTAAAACGTTTGGGCCGTTGTACGCTCCGGCCTTCTTCAGGTGGTTGGAATGTCCTTTATCCACTGTGTCATGTGTTCTTGAAGACACATGACGCATTGGATAAAGGCGTTGGTTAGATCCAGTAACAGAACCCAAAGAGTGTGAGTTCAATACGCCGGTTAAGGTAGTGGAGAACTTGGAGAGGGGGATTAACAGATTAACTGATAACTGACATCCATTAAACATGGCACGTGGAACTAGAACAGTCTACCCCAGTGAGCGAAATAAAGGGTTCAGTTCGACATTCCAACCACCTGAAGAAGGCCAGAGCGTACAACGGCCGAAACGTTGTAATAAATATGGCGACAAAGATGAGGACAATGGTCCGAATCATGTAAATAGTGTAAATATCGTGTATCTTTTTCTCTAAGCTTGAGAGAGAACCGTGTTTATTATTTGATTTCATCAAAATATCAAACTTTAATGCCAAATCTGTCCAACTGTTAGATTTCGCAGTGTTTTCCGTTCAACTTAAAAACCAACTGTTTTATGGCTTGGATTTACTTTATTATTAAGATTAGTTACGATCAAATCCATCTTTTTTTTCGTAGTATTCAAATGATCACTAAGCCACTGATGGCAACTGATAGAGACGGCCAAAGTACTTTTAGTTTTGATTCTGATCATTCATTTTTTTTAAATTTCAATTTATAAAACAAATATCAGTTACTTATAACAAAATGTTTATGATATAAAAGAAAAAGAAAATATATTAATCAATCATCTAAATGACTGATTAATATTTTTTTTATTATTATTTACTCATTATTATATAATCTTATATTTTTCCAAGACAAAAAACCAGAAAATTCTAAACGTTTATTTTTAAATTTCAAACAAATCACCAACACCATGACATGTTTCGAGTTAATAGTAGTAGTAGTAGTAGTAGTAGTAGTAGTAGTAGTAGTAGTAGTAATAAAATCATAAATTATAATGTTTATTTAAAATATTTTGAACCAAGCTTAACTTAGCTTCTGCGTCGAAAAAATGTAATTTGAAAATAAAACAAAACAGGTCATAACCTTTCGCGTCACTTGACAGGTGACGAAAGACATTTTCATGACGTTTAGATAACTTACGGGAGGATAATTCTTTCTACGGATGGAAGGAAGTGAAATTATTTAGACAAATTATTTACCTCGTTATTTATAGGAAAACTTTCAGCGCTCTAATTTTTTAATTTTTTTTTTTTTGTACTTAGCTTTCACCTTTACGTTTACGATGCTTTATGGAAAATATATTATAAAGAAATAAAAAAATAAGAGTGAGATAAAATTTCATAAGAAAGGTATCTAATTAATTTATAGGTTATTTATTCTTATTATTAATTTTGATATTTCATTTATGGAAAAATGTCATAAATGAGATTAATATAAAAATAAGATCATATAAATTTCATAAGATGATACTGATACTTGTAGGTACCCTTCTCAGTTGAAATTGAAAAATCAAATTAACTTCTCCATACGTGTTTCGCAAAAGTAAAGGCCTTAACAGTGGAGAACAATGCTTAACTCAAGTAACGCAACTTAATTGTATTCTGGTTGGTCTTCCGTACTTTATAATTACCGCCCGATTATAAACACAAAATTACATTTCTTAATTACTGGGGATCTTCTGATTAGTCAAAATGATACAATTTACAACGCGCTAAAAAAAGATCTATCTCATAAGGACACTTAGAAAACCCGATGCGGCTTTTAACTAATTTTATAATATTTTAACAACTTAATGTAAAAATCTATTATAATTAAAGAAATAACAAATAATTGTATTAAAAATTCAATTTTCACTGAAAAAATTTTTTGCTTTCAGAAAATATTGTCCATATTCATAAAAACAACTAAAAACAAATAAAAACATTTGAAATTAAATAATATATTTGTTTTATTGAGTTTTGTATGTTACAATTCAGAGCTGATTTTCAGGTACTGCGGATCCAATTAAAAAAAAACATGATTTGCATTCTTCAAAGTCTTGCGCTTTTAACTATTGTAATCACTAAACTCGATCGGATCGAATTTCTAGCGTTTTCATAAAATTAGTTATGGGGGCGGTTAATAAATATAAAAAAAATATTTCTGCCATGACTTTAATAAAATAACAAACATATTTATAATAATTTCGATCATCTGTGAATAAGTTTCTGAAAGTTTCATTAACATCCGACAATTATTTTTATTTTTGCAAGATTTTCCAAATTAATGTGTGTAATAAAAAAAAAACGTGCTAAAAATTGTCTATGTTATTTACTAGTTCCGGTTGGTACAAAAAGAAACAAGGCTTTTTAAATCAAAATTTAGAATATTCTA